CACTAAAACGGCACTCGCGCGAGAGCAATATTGAAGCCTGCAGGAGAGAAACATGCCTTGAGCATGTGCAGCATCTACATGAGCTCTCCTTGGTCTCCTGCGCTCTCGCGAGCAATTCCTGCTCTTCTGCTCGTGAAACTCTGGCCTGCTCTCGCGCGCGGAGAAATGTTAGGAAGTGGGCGTACCGTGTCCCAGTAACGCCAAATCTAATTGGTTACACCCCTCCTCTTTTATGATTGGCCGGTGTCTGGATTTAAACCTAAACCAGGAAGTCCCTCCAACCTCCAACGTGATGAAATATGGCTGTGGAAACGTCTCACGTAAGTTACTTTACTTTACTAATGATTATTTTTAATAAAAGGCATGCTTCTGTATTCTGTGGTTATTCCACAAGAGCCGTCCTTACTTATAAATGGATTGAGTTTTTTAGATAATACATTTTTATACATATTTTTCAAAAGTATTCAAACAATTCTATTATAAAGATAAGAACCAATTAACTTTTCGGTCTTGACATATGATAATATAAAATGTAGCTTTCAAAAACAGAATTTGGAATTAATAATTTTGATTACTTTAGCAAAATATTTTATTCACAAATGTCGCTTTTTCAAAATGTCCCCAGTTTTTATTGCCTTTCTCAAATAAATAATACTATACAAAAAAAGTATAAAATGATGCAAATGTAAAAAAGCCCAAGAATTTTGCAAGTTTCTTGGCACTTTCATTTCTGAATGACCTCTTTTTTTTCTGTTCAAATGCCCTCAGCTTATTTTTTGGAATATTTATGATGATGTTTATGTGCCTTATTCTGTATTTGACATAATTGTTTCATTAAAGATTTACCACATTTCTTAAAAATATAATTAAATACTATTTAATACTTTATTTTTCTTCACAGCATATTCTGAAACGGCAGATCCTGGAGAGACTCCTGTCGAAGTTTGAGCTTGCACTCATTCGAGCACAACTTGACCTGGATTTGCTGGAGTTTGCATGTCGCCAGGAGCTGTACCTCCTGCAAGCACTTTCGAGACATGTTGACATACCGCAAGGAATAATCCAAGCTCTTCAAGAGCTGTTTGGACTACTTAGGCAATATTTATATTTAGAAGCCCCAAATACAGCAGTGGGATCAGTTATTGGTCTAAGAGGACGTCCTAAGTTTGAAATTGAGAGGCAGCAGTTGGTTGAGATGTTGGGGACAAACCTATCGGTGCCTTGCTAAGCTGCTAGGTGTTTCTTCCAGCACAGTCTTTAGAAGGATGAGAGAGTTTGGCTTATCTGTTTCAGAAATGTATAGCTCCATCAGTGATGAGGAGTTGGATAACGTGGTCATACCCATCAAGAATGACATGCCCACTGCTGGATACCGAATGGTCAAAGGACGGTTGTTATCCATTGGTCTACGTGTACAATGGACAAGAATGGCTGCCTCAATGCATCGAGTGGATTCCATAGGCATCCTCTCCAGACTGGCTAGTCTGGGCTTTGTTGTGAGGAGAACATATTCAGTGCGAGGGCCTCTGTCGCTTGTGCACGTGGATACCAACCACAAATTGATACGGTAGTGGTATTTATATTTCGCTAAGTGATTAAGAAATAATCTCTTTGTAATGTCCTAGTTTTGGAGAATCAGTGTTTCAATTCCAGAGTGCTATAACAGTTTGTTCTTTGGTTTTCCAGTTATAACATTGTCTTATTTGGTGGAGTGGACGGGTATTCGAGAAAGGTAAGACTGCATTTCACTTCAGTAGACACACATTAAACAAACATGTATTTTTTGTACGAGTTTACGACTAGCTACTTAAAACCACAAAAGAGGTCCCAACGCTGTGTCCTGGCTTTGCTTAAGGAATTTGATCCAAATGGAGAAAGTGTATGGACTAAAAAGGAAGCAGCAAAGTCAAAGTAGATATAAAGGAGATTTTGTTCATTGCCTATTTTTGCTGCACAAGTATTATGAGTCAGTATACTGTATGTCAGTATTGTTTGCTTATTTCTATTGCAACAGGAATTCTTTAATCTCTGCCTTTTTTTCCCTATAATACACAGTTTAACAGAATGTTGCCTAGTTATTGTGTGTAATTGCCCTATTCTTAAATATTCTCTGCTTTTCTGCAGGTAATGTACTTGGGTGCTTCGACCAACAACCGTGCATCAACAGCCTATGGCTTCTTCTTAGAGGCAACACAAAGACATGGAGTGCCTTTAAGGTGAATTCACAGAAAAAAGCACTCTTTGGAGAACTAGATCAATACTGTGACACTTTTGGATGAGTATTTTCTTTGACAGTCCTTTGGTCAACTGTGTACATTTCAGGGTCAGAGGAGACCAAGGAGTAGAAAACGTACAGATCGCGAGATTCATGTTTTCGGTTCGCGGCACCGACCGTGGAAGCTTCATCTCTGGTAAAAGTGTTCATAACCAGAGGTAAATTGCAGCATCTTTAGTAACTCAATTAGTGAGGTGAACTTATCTGATGTGTAGACCAAGCACCTTGCACTTAACCCATGCTAGGCCAGCATGAAAATAGATCACTTGAACTGGTTTTCCCTAAACCATGTATTTTCATCCATAGGATTGAGCGTCTTTGGCGTGATGTACGAGTCATTGTCATCAACAAGTACTCTGCGATACTGCTTTCCCTCGAAGAGGATGGTCTGCTCGACATCTCATCAACAGACGACCTCTTCTGTGTGCACTACATCATTCTTCCCCGACTTCAGATGGACTTGGGGATTTTTACAGAAGGCTGGAACCATCATCCACTCAGCACTGAACGGAACCAATGTCCAGAGCAGTTATGGCAACTTGGACTGATGCAGACAAACATTGATCAGCCGGAGAGCCCAGAGGTATTGATCTCGTTTCAGTATTACATTACATGTCACTTGTTAGACGCTTTTATCCAAAGCGACTTACATACTCAGTACTGTGGGCAATCCCACGATAGTAATTACTTACCATTTACTTTGTGTAATATACATTGTCAAAAGATTACTTTCTTTCCCTACTCTTGGCATGACCATTTTCTGGGCATTTTATTCAGTTGTGTTATTTTAACTGCAAAAATAACACAAACTATTACTTGATGTCATTGTTCCACATTGTTTATAAGACATTTATTTCACCAAAGTGTTCAAAACCTCTGTTATGGTTATTAGGAGCCAGATGTTGACTGGGAAATTGCTGCTGACCACGATGGAGAAGAAGAGGATGCAGGGATTGTCGTCCCCGAATTCGACTGCCCTTTGAGTCCAGAAGACACAACTGAACTTCAATCAGTATTTCAGCAAATTGACCCAAACACTCCGGTCAAGGAACTGTACTTACTCTGCCGTGAGTATGTAGCTGAAAGATGTGGCTCTTAAGAAATACAGCTCCCTTGAATGACACAGATGAGGTAAAAGTAAAATTCCTGTGTTCAAAGTGTTACTTAAGTACCAAGAGTAAAATAAGTCATGATGCCGATTTCAGGATAGAGTAAAGTTACTTGGCACAACTGGTGACTGGGTTTTTATTCCATTAAATTGAAACAATTGACACAAAATACAGCTCAAAACTATAATGGTTCCCCAACTTCACCATTTGTTTCCAAAACATTTTGACTAGAACAGTATGTCACTTGAAAGTTTGACTGTATTCTCATCTTGAACAAATGAAAACCTTGTCAAATAAAGTGCAATAAAGACTGTCTAACCCTAACCCAGAAAACATCGATTCTATGACTCTTATGAGCGGCTAAACTCCCTGCTACTCATAACAGCCTGTGTTATGATGCTCAGGAACTCTGGATATGAGCCGAGGTGCCTTGTCGGAAAGGTAATGGAGTTGGAGCATGCATTCACTACGGGAAAGCATACCGTGTGTGTACCATAGCGCACGCTGCAATCATGGTCGAACTCAATTAAGATTTTAAACATCTCTCTCTCTGTTGAGGTGATGGGGACGTGTGCCTGCCCCGTAAGCCATTGAAGGAAGCAACCAACAGTGATCTTGGGTTTTTCCTTCATCTCCTCTTCATCTTTTGCCGCTTCACCTGTAGACTCTGTCTCTCTTGAGTCTCTTTCATCACTCTCTGTTATCTTCACAGGGGTCCCCCTCTCTTCAACCACGAAGCTCTTTTCTTCCTCTAAAAACAAGTTGAAAATGAATACAAAGAAATGCATATATTCACCTAAGCAATGTCAATAAATATGGCTATTGTTTTTAAAAAAAATGTTTATGTGGATATTTTGAAGAAGAAAACCTCATTAGCCAGTCCTGCTTTAGTTATCATTGTTTCATCGCAACCATCATGATGCAAAGTTGTGTTTAAACTGAGACATGTAAACATGAATAAAAAGGGTATGCAAAGCTGTCATTGAGTTGCCTGTCGTAATCGGGGGTAAAATTCAAGAACAAATACATTTATAAAATGTCAGGGCTGTAGTATCACCTTCTTCTTCAATGTGTTGGATGAAGTCTTGTAAAAAGTTGGTCAATTCCAGACTCTCCAATGAAAGACACTCGGAGGTTTTTTTTGGGAGAAGACCTCTTCTGACGTCTCCACCGCCCTAAACCCCTTTCAAACATGTCCTCCCTAGTGACACTAACATTAAAGAGTGCCGTTGTGCTCGTCCACTAAGTGTTTCGATGGCTTCAGCAAGACTTGAAGGAAACAATTAGAAGTTGATAGACAACTGGATCCAAAACGTTTTCCCTTAAGAGACCCCTTTTGTATCATTGAGTAAACTGACGACCCCTGACTGATGTAAAGTGGCGTCTTTTAAATGATATTCAAGGCATAACAATAACAGTGCAGGGCAACCGATGAACAGTACAATTAACAAAAATAGTGAACACAATAACTGCAGGACGTTTTTGTTTAAAATAAGCAATTACAGGTACATTTTAAGCATATTACCTTTTCTCTGGCCCTGTCAGTTCTTCACTGGCATGTTCTTCCAAATCGATAATTTGTGTCGACTGCAATGTAATTGATAAATAATGCCCTGATTTTACCTTAATATCGATTTTAGAACAGGAGGTCCTACACGGGAGCACACTTGGAGAAGCCTATAATAAAATGTAGAAAGACTGCCAATTAATGACACATACAATGAAAATTGTTTAGAAACAAACACCTACAATATTAGTGAGCTTACATTCCCAGGATTGCTTGTAGCTGGAGACTCATCTAAATCTGGGTCCAGATCCTGAAAATCGTAACCAGTTAAAAAAGCTGTCGATTCAGGATGAT